ATTTTGTGTGTGAACTTTTTCATGGGTTTTTACAATAGAGGTCTCATACAATATTTGTCCTTTTGTGATTGACTTATTTCACTCAGCATAAAGTCCTCCAGTTTCATCCATGTTATGAGATGGTTCACAGATAAGCAACAATTTTTTTTAATGCAATCTTCCAATTCTAGTTTATTACTTGGCTATTAATTTATTTAGTATTTTTGATAATTAATCAATTTAAATGGATACAATTAAGAATATATTTGAGTTTGTAGCTCCCGTGTTACTATTCATTGGCTTTTTTTGGTCCTTTTTCTTTTCTTTCATGACTTTTTTGCACTAGTCAAAATTTATTTTTATTATTCCATTTACTATATTTAGTGGCTTTCCAATCAATTACAATCTACATCCTTATTTAGTTCAGAGTAATACTAATGATTATTTTACAACTTTTCTAAAAGGCTAGAATCTTAGTGCATTTTAACTTCATTTACCAGTTCCTTCTTTTAAATTATTACTATAATACATTAATTCATGTATATTTTAAATGCCACAAGGCATTACAATTACTTATTTGTACAGTTAATATTTATTTAATTTATCTGCATATTTACCTATTCCATTGTTCTTCAATCCTTACCACATTTTTGAGCTCTGTCTGGGGATAATTTTCCTTTTGCTAAAGAAAACAGTTCAGTATTTCTTTTAGTGTGGTCTATTAGTGACTAAATTTCTCTGCTTTTGTTTTTCTGAAAATGTTCTTATTTTGCCCTTATTTTTTTTTTACTAGCTTTGGCTGTTATTGTTGTTAGGAGTCACTGAGTCAATTTTGACTCCTAACAACCCCATGTGACAGAGCAGAATTGCCCCATAGGGTTTTCTAGGCTGTATTTTTTGTAGGAACAGATTGCCAAGTCTTCTCTCACAGAGCCACTGGGTGGATTTGAACTGCCAACCTTTTGGTTAGCAGTCAAGCAGTTAACCATTGCACCACCAAGGCTCCTTTGGCTAATGGGATAAAAAAATTGACTTAGGACACTCAAAAAAAAAAAAAAAAAAAAAGGCAAGTAAAGCCCAGCTTGGATTAGGTACCAAATGAAATTTGTTGTGACACAAATTCTGACAGACGTATGGATTTTAAGGAAAGTTGACAGTAGTCTTTTTCATATATTCAACAATGGGAGAAATGTTATGTTAGGCTATAAATGTTTGCAGTTAAGTGAGGAGCCTAAGCTTTGGGGGAGGGTTGCAGAAGACAGACTGATCAAGTCTGGGGGATTTGCGGGCAAAAAAGTTGTAAGTGAGGAAGTAGATGGTACTGGTAAAAAAAACTGTTGATGTAACCAACCATAAATTCTAGTTTGGTGGTGAAAGAAATGAAGCTAGGCGGATCATTAAAAGTGTCAAGTATGATTATTAATAGCTGAAAGAGTGTTGTAAAGCTCTATATAAAAATAAGGCAGTATTTTTATACCTAGGTCACTTAGATGGAAAATATGATAGAGTTGGGAAGATGTCTGACCTTCTCTATCCTGCTTATGTGTTCTTCTGCCTAAGGCCAAAACAGTTCCTAGAGGGGAGTCTGGCATCTAATTTATAAGGAAAATTTGTAGCTTCTTAGCCTCTTTCATCTGTTTCTATCTCAACAATTCTTCTGTTATTCATCCTTAAAAAGACTCAAGCAACATCACCTTGAATTATATACTCTAGCTCTAAAACATTGTTTCAGTTAAATACAAATAATAGAAAAAGCAAAGATTTTTATGAAATTAAATTTTACTAAGATTTTTTTGCTTCTTTTGAATTTGTACATTTTTTCCCCCTAAATTTGGATCATAAGATCAGAACTGTAAAATTTTGGCCTTGGAAGAAATTGTTCAGACAATTTATTTGACTCCTACTTTTTCTCCATTTCATACATGAAACAAATGAGGTACAGAGAAGACAAGACTGAAATCACCCTATAAATCAAAAGCAGAGCTAAACCCAGAAAACTCCACTATACTGTGGAGATTAGAAAATTCATATTAGCTTACTCTATCACTTAGCATATTGCACCCCTTCCCCATCTTACTTTAAGATTCAGCAAATTTTTCAATGTGGAAGAATATAAAGTGGTTTCAATACTCTCTCTCCAGAGTATCAGATTTCTAAAAAGAGCTGACACAAAGCACTTTTGCAACCAAATTTAATATAAAAACAGAGAGTATGCAAATAAGACGTAAAGCCAAACTTTAGAAATGAACTACAGAAATAATGAATTAACGTAATACCATTTTTAAGATTAGACTCTCAGTCCTGCATTCTGTTCTTTTCTGGTGAACTAGGCACAATCAACTCTGACCCCAGACATTCTTACCCCTGCTGTAAATGCACATCTGGACAAGCAACAGACAGAGCAAGCTCTGTATTAATTCTAATTTTGACAATGCGTGTTGAGACATGCTCACTTCACCCTCATCCTGTTCTACTTCAATGTCAGAAGGAAATGAAGCCACAATAAGAAAAAAAAAAAGAGCTGTAACACCTTTTGTCTTCTGCCTTCTCCCTCCCTCCTCACCGTCCTCCCCACACAGAGCTACTCTACTTCTGGTCTGCTCAGTGTGACATCCCTGCCTGCCTGAGAAATGATGTAAAGGGATTGCAATTGAAGACAAGTGACACCACCAGTCACAAGCCTCTGAAAGTACTAGATCTGCGCAGGACCCAAGCCAAAGCAATGGCATTATCGCTGGAAGAATTTGTCCACTCGCTTGACCTCAGGACCCTCCCCAGGGTTCTCGAAATCCAGTCAGGCATCTATTTTGAAGGTAAGCACCCTGCTATCCCTTCGCTGGCTAGAAAGTGCTTATAAAGTATATACTCTAAGGGGACGTTTTAATGGGGGAATATATGAATTCCATTAAAAGAAAGGCAATCATAAAAAAATATTTAATTGATGAATGGTCAAGATCCAACAGTGTCAGAGAAGGGAGAAACTAGATAGGACTCTTACGTGGACAGGGATTAGGAAATGAGTAAAGCTTCTTGAGATATTTGTAGGCCTTCAATAATTCAACATAAATGAGGAATCATTTCTGCCTTTTTTTGAAATGGGCTGTAATCAAGTGAAAAGTTTTTTAAGTTATCCATATTTATGTTTCCAGAATATAAAAAATAAAATTTCATTTTCTAAAACAAAAAGCAACTATCAAAGGTAGTATTTGGCAAGAAAAAAAATCTTTAGCAAATTCTCTACCATTTCTAAACGTTCCTTATATCAATACTTCTCTCACTCTTTCTGTAGTGGCCTAACTTCTAATTCCTTTAAATAATGACAGTTTTCATTCACAGGTATAAAAATTAGTGTTTATTATTTACATGATAATTTTTTTAAATCAATGCTGAAAAGTCAGAATTTAATTTAAAGTTTTGAATAATAAATTATTGAGTTTTCATGTAACTTACTATGTTAATTCATGTATAAGAATATTAAAGCCTCCAATATATACCTAGCATCTTTAAGCAGTTAGTTTGAATACACAAATGACAAAGAGTCATTTTTATGCAAATAAACATCTTTGGTCGCAAGAAGAGTAGAACTGAGATGCAGGTCTAGACAAACTTCTGGGAAAATAACTTAAAGCCTCTAGGCAAGCCTTTACCATTCATAGACAAAAGAATGGATTATATATTATATTACAAATAAAAGAAAGATTGACAGATATCAGATCCAGATTCGTATACATACATCTGGAAGTGAGAAATTGGTGCAGGCCGACATTAGCTTACTATAGGGTTTTTGTTTAATTCATGTGTAAATTGATTACTTGGAATCAGGTTATCTTTTGCCATGTGTACAATATTATGAAATGTCTCTATGTTCCTAAATTAAAAAAAGGATTGGTTGCCATTGAATTGATTTCAACTCATAGCGATCTCACGTATGTCACAGTAGAACTATGTTCCATAGGGTTTTCAATAGCTAATTTTTCAGAAGCAGATCACCAGGCCTTTTTTCTGTGACCCCTCTGTGTGGACTCAAACCTCCAACCCTTCAGCTAGCAGCAAAGAACGTTAACTGTTTGCACCACCCAGGGCATCTCTATGTTCTAAGCCAACCCTAAGTCATTTTTGGCCTCATGATTTGTGGTTTTTCAGTTTTTGCATAAAAAGTTCTTTATATCTAGGCTACAAAGACATTCTGTTATATTATTTTATATCAACTTTGCGGTTTTATATTTTACATTTAGTTTTTAATCCATTTGGCGGACACTTTATGAAGTGTGCAGAGATCCAATTTTAGCTTTCACCACATAATAAACCTGATTTCCCAGTACCGTTTACTGAACTAGCCACCCCTTCCCCATTTCGTACTATTACCTTTAAAATATATTACATGGTCACATCTCTATCGGCCCATCTCTGAAATATCGCTTCTATTCCACTAGTGTATTTTTTCTGTAATTGTTCCAAAATCACTGTTTTCATAACCATGTTTTGGGGAAAAAAAAAAGTTACAATAGTCAATGTATAAACTAATTATTTTTACTCTTCTTTTTCAAAGTTGACTTACCTATTTATAAACCTATAAAATAAATTAAAAAAAAATAATTGATTCCTTAAGAAATCTAACTGGAATTTGTATTAGAATCTATTGATTTTACAGATTAATTTGGGAAGAATTGACATTTCTATATTAAGTTTTACAAAAGAAAGTAGTACTTCTCTTCATGTTTTCAGATGATCTTCTATTAGTTTACTATGTAATACTTCAAATAAGAGAAAAAAGTGTATACTTTGATGAATTTTCACAAGAAAACACATTCATGTAACTGCTACCCTGGTTAAAAAAATAAATAAAAAAACTAAACCCGTTGCTGAGTTGATTCCGACTTATAGTGAGTGTATAGGACAGGGTAGAACGGCCCCATAGGATTTCTAAAGAGTGGCTGGTGGATTAGAACTGCTGACATTTTGGTTAGCAGCCGAGCTCTTACCCACTGTGCCACCAGAGCTCTAGTCTAGAGATAGAAAATTACAAGTGTTCTAGATATTCCGTCTTATGCCCTTTCTCAATCATTGTTCACTATCTTCTCCAAAGTTACCACTATCGTGACTTTTGACCATTTATGAACTTTATGTAAATGGGACATTACAAAATGTATTTTTTTCTGGTTGGCATATACGTTCAACACTATGTGAAATTAATCCATGGAATTCTATATAGTTCACTTATTTCAGTGTGTAAAATGTTAATTGAATGAATATACCATGATTTATTTGTCCATTCTACTGTTAACATATATTTAGATTATTTCCATTTTGGAGTTGTCACCAGTAACGCTGTTATGAACATTCTTGCATATATGCATACATGCATATTCACAAGCTCGTACATTTCAGCTGAATATATAAAAGAGTGGAATTGCTATGTCATATGGTATGTGTGTGTTCAGTCTTTGTGGATAATAAAAATACCAGTTTCCTAAGTGACTGTACCAATTTATGTTCCTACCAGCAGTATATGAGTGTTCTAATTAATCCACATTTCTGCCTACACTTGATATTGTCAGTCTTCTTAATTTTAGCCATTCTACTAAGAGTGTAATGATAACTTGTGGTTGTAGCTTGTATCTCTCTGATGATTAATGAGATTGAGCGACTTTTCATGTTTATTGATCTTTTGGAGATACTCTTTTATGAAGAGATGGTTCATACCTCTTGCTCATTTTTCTTTTGGATTTTATAATTTTTTTATTATTGACTTAATAAATTTTTTTTTGTATATTTAGGATACTGACCCTTTGTCATTTATGTGTGTTGCAAATGTCCTCTCTCCATTCTGTGGTGTAGCATTTCATTTTCTTAATAGTGTCTTTTGATGGATGGAAGTTTTTAATTTTAGTGTAGTTAGTTTATCATATTTTCCTTTATGCGTGTTCTCAAATTTTTTTTTCTTACCTCAAGTTTATGAAAATATTCTTCTGTATGGTATATGGTGTCAGGATGAGGCCAATATTTATTTATTTATCTTCTATGGATCCAATTGGTGCAATGACATTTATTGAAACCTGTTTTTTATACTACTTGCTATTTTACCTTAATCATCAATAGTGTCCATGTATGCCTGGGTCTCTTTCTGTTCCATTTATCTATCACTATCCTTACACCTTGGAAACTCTGGTGGCATAGTGGTTAAGAGCTATGGCTGCTAACCAAAGATTGGCAGTTTGAATCCACCAGGTGCTCCTTGGAAACAGTATAGGGCAGTTCTACTCTGTTCTATAGGGTCACTATGAATCGGAATCAACTCGATGGCAACAAGTTTGGTTTTTTTGGTTTTATCCTTACACCAATTTCACCATATCTAAATTAATGTAGGTTTGTAATTAATTATAATATATAATCCCTATTATTATATTATCTTACTCTGCAGAGAAGGGGTTCTCAAACTCGGTTGCACATTAGAACCACGTGGGAATATCATATAGATGTTTGGGTCTCTCCCTAAGAGATAACTATTTAATTGTAAGAGTTAAGTCTTCACCATTAGGTTTGTAAAAAAATCTCCCTGATGATTATAACAAGCAGCCAAATTTGAGATTTTTTTTTCCAGGAGATCTTGCCCTTCTTTTTTTTAGATTTATTCTTAGTTATTTGATTTTCTTCATGTTATTATAAATGGTATCATTTAAAATTTTCATTTTCTCTTTGTTGTGTTTGTTGAATTCTAAGACTACACCTTTAGATTCTTTTGAATTTGTTCTGTACACATTGATGTTGTCTGTGAGTACAGATGGGCTTTATTTCTTCTTTCTGATGACTGAATTTTTTTTCTTCCGTTAAAGCACTGACTAGCACTTTTAGTACAATATGAATAGGACTGATGATAAAGGATCTCCTTGTCTCATTCACAATCAGTGACAGAAAGTTTCAATAGAAAAAAGAAAAACCCATTGCCATTGAGTCAATTCTGACTCATAGCCACCCTATAGGACAGAGTAGACCTGCCCCATATGGTTTCCAAGAAGTGGCCTGGTGGATGAAAGTTTTGATAATTCATCATTAAATACAATGTTTGTTTTAGGCTAAAGAATTTTCCTTCCCTTTCTGGAGCCAAGGGAGCTGGACAAACTCCTGAAAAGATTGCCCTGAGATAATCTTTAAAACTTAAACCAAAAATATTCCCTGAACTCTTAAAACCAAGCAACTGTTTAGCTTAACTAGTAAAAAATGTCTGCTTTGAGCATCAGGCTCTTTTAAGAACTATCTATATGAGATCAAAGTGACAACAGAAACTGAAAAGATTAGATAGGAACCTTAGGGGACAGTCAGTTTATGTCAATGGGGAGGGAACAACCCAGAAAAGGAGGATGAGAATGGTTGCACAACTCCAAGAATGTAATTGATGCCACTGAATTGTACACGAAGAAACTGTTGAACTATGTTTTGCTGTGTATATTCTCAAAAACAACAATGAAATGAAATTTAAAAAAAAATTTCCTTCCATTAGTAGCTTGCTAACAGTTTTTTTTTTAAATTATGAATGTATTCTTAATTTTATCAAATGTTCTTTCAGTAACTTTGGTAATTATAATTTTCTTTTTCATTGATTAATATTTGAATGTTAAACAAAGCTTTTACTTGTGGTATAAAACCAATTTAGTCATATATCATTGAGTTTGGTTCCTTCCTTTTTCTTTTTAGAATTTTTGCATCTCTATTAGGGAATTATATTGATAATGTCCTAGCAGGGTTTTCATATCAAGTTATGCTGAATTTAAGGAACGTCCTGGATAGTGACTTTCTTTTTCTATTCTTCTTAAGA